GACAAAGAGGAACGGAAGGGTTGCTGGGGCCAGGGGCATGCTTGAAGGAATGAACAAAAAGGTGGATTCCTGTTCTGTGGGCTTTGTGGCCAGTTTGGGGAAGACGATGATTGTGAAGTATTACCACCGAGAAAAGTGAAGGTCAAAGTCCTGACAATGACCTTCAAAGCCTTCTGCTCTGTCTGCCCCACTTCCAGTCCTTCTCCAACCTCCCCTTCTCCCTGCTCCGCTCCTCATCCTCACCGCTCTTGGAACATTCCCGCCCACTCCTGCTAGCCAAGGATGGCTCTGTTCTTGGGATGAAAGCAGGCAACATACAGGTTGCTGACATTTTCCCGGTGCAGTAAAGCAAGCACCGGGAAAATGTCAGGGAGAAAATAGCTGTCCGGCTCAGAACACGATACCTGCCAAATACGGCGCTCTGACAGGCTGAATAAAGATGCAGCCTCAAGGTCTCTCTGCCTACCTCTCCTCTATCCTGTCTGTCAATTCTGTCTCTCCCAAAGCACAGGAGGAGGCTGTTTCCTGAAGTTCCCTTATCTACTAGAAACCGGACCTGCAAAGAGGAACACGATTGCTTTCGATCCCTTCCCTGAAATTTCATTAACTGGAGAAAAAAATTCACATCACAGAGGAAGAGAAAATTTAACACCACGTCTAGAGTCCAGATTAACTTTGCCCCAAACAAGTGCGTCTCCTTTGGTCCCATTCAATTTCCAAAGAAAGTCATTTATAAGATAATGTCTGCCTCCCAGGTGCATTAATGCCGCCTAATGAGCATTTACTCCTATAGCCCCATCTCCCTTCCCCAGTGAAGAATCGGATATAAACATCTGCACCTCAATGGATTATTGGATAATCATTTTCCCACGATTCCCCTGTGCTATGCATGTTAAATACATTTTTTATGCTTTTTTCTTCTATTCATCTGCTTATTTTTTTCTTTTTTGAGACAGAGTTTTGTTCTTGTCGCCCAGGGCAATGGCGCCATCTCAGCTCACTGCCACCTCTGCCTCCTGGGTTCAAGCAATTCCCCTGCCTCAGCTTGCCCGCCACCACACTCAGCTAATTTTTGTATTTTAGTTGACAGCGTTTCACCATTTTGGCCAGGGTGGTCTCGAACTCCTGACCTTGGGTGATCCGCCTGTCTTGGCCTCTCAAAGTGCTGGGATTACAGGCACTTTGTCCAGCCTAATCTGTCTATTGTCAGTATGTTTCTGGCGAACCTTTAGAGTGTGAAGGGGAAGCTGTCTTTGGTCCCCACGTAGCACCGAGTGGCTTTGAAGGGGTGCATGGAACCCCCCTGCCTGAGGGGCCCCTGAATCAAGGGAGGTGACATTTGATCTGAGATCTGAAAACCTAGAAGGAACCCTCCATACCAGGAGCGGAGGGACAAGCAGTCCCAGTAGAGGCAACAGGCTGGACAAGGGCCTTGAGGTAGAAAAAGCTGACCTATTCCCGGAAGAGAATGAGTCTGGTGAATGAGTGGGGCAGGGGGAGGCGGGGGAGCTGGCAGGGTCTGGAGTCAGTTTGCATTTTATTCCAGTTTGGTGGTAAACCATTAAAAGGTTTTAAGCCAGAGAAAAACCTGTTCTGTTTTTACAAATATTCTTTCAGCTTAGGCAACGTAGCAAGACCTCTCTCTACAAATAATAAAAAAAGCAGTAGCTGGGGCTGGGCACAGTGGCTCACGCCTGTCATCCCAGCACTTTGGGAGGCTGAGGCCAGCAGAGCATGAGGTCAAGAGATCGAGATCATCCTGGCCAACATGGTGAAACCCCGTCTCTACTAAAAAATGCAAAAATTAGCTGGGTGTGGTGGTGGGTTCCTGTAATCCCAGCTACTTAGGAGGCTGAGGCAGGAGAATCGCTTGAACCCAGGAGGTGGAGGTTGCAGTGAGCTGAGATTGTGCCACTGCACTCCAGCCTGGTGACAGAGCCAGACTCCGTCTTAAAAAAAAAAAAAAAAAAAGATAAAGTATCTGGGCATGGTGGTGCACATGTAGTCCCAGCTACAGGGGAGGCTGGGGCAGAAGGATCGCTTGAGCCCAGGAGTTCAAGGCTGCAGTGAGCTCTGATTGGGCCACTGTACTCTAGGCTGGGTGACAGAGTGAGACCTTGTCCCAAAAAAACTCCCAACCAATCAAACATCATTAAGGCTGCACAGCAGAGAACAAAGCATAGCCCAGAGCAATGTGGGTGGGAGTGTGGAGGGGCGGGTGTGGCTTGGACCCTCGGGGCTGCAGGTGCTAGGACGTGGACCAGTTTGAGACAAGGGGGCATGCCTTTCGATGAACTGTGAAGAGGACTGACATTCCTGTACCCATTTCACAGACCGAGGAACTGCAACTCAGAGGCAGTCTCTGCACCTGGGGGACTATTGTGCCATTTTTCAGCTGTAGAAATTGAGAGGGGGAGGAATTTGTCTGAGTAGACGCAGCTAAGGCTGAATGTTGGTCTCCAGAGGACTCTGCTCCTGGACTGTTTGCCTTTGTAGGTGTGGCTGGGACTACTCACCGCCTGCCTTTTGCAGACAGGGAAATGGAGACTCGAAGAAGAACAATACTCAGAGCGGTGAGCTCGCCATAGGACCCGGGGCCTCTGGTACAAAGTCTAGATTCTCTGTGTCCCTGCTGCAGTCCCTGCCCAGCTCCCTGGCATAGCTCTAAGGAGAAGATGAATGTAGCGGAACCCACAAGAGGACAATAATGGACGTGGTGCCTAATCACACGCTTCCACGCTCGGTACTATGGACAACAAGGGACAGGGGAAGGATGAGGAGGCTCAGATGTTTGTGGGGAAGTGGGTACGCCCCTGTCCGCCTCCTGCCTGGCCAGATGCCCGAAGTGGGCGAGTGTGTATGTGTGCATGTGTGCATATGTATGTGACTCTGCGTGCCTGTGTAATTGTACGTGTGAATGTGTGAGTGTGGTGCCCACAGGAACCCTGTCGTTTTCCCGGAATGCCAGGCCCCCGGGGCACCCAGGGCACCCAGCTCCCTGCCTGTTCAGACCCAGTGTGCCCTCATTTCTCTGTCCACTTATTTGCAGAGACCTCTTGGCTTCTGTGCCTTATCCCTGGGCCCTGCTTAGGCTTCTTGATGAAAAAATAATTAATCATAGCCTCATTTTCCAAGGCGTCCATCCCGCCTTGCTGGCCATGTTAAAAATATTCACAAGGAGTAGGGCTGTTGGTGGGAGGAGCTGCTGCTCTGCGTGGGAGGGCAGCCAAGGCCACAGAGAGGGAAAGGACGTGTTGAAAGGGAGGCCTCCTGTGTGCCTGGACTCAGGGCTTGATGAGGAGAGAGGCCAGAGGCTGGCCTCCAGCTCATTCTCACTATGGCCTCAGCCTGGCTGTGTGAATTTGGGCAAGTTCCTAGCCCTCTCTGAGCTCTGCTTCCCACTCTGTGAATGGAAGAATTTGAATCAGAATTCAGTTCTCCCAAAGCATTTCTTCTGCATGTAAATGGGTGACATCCAAAGCAAAAACAAGTGAACAATAAATCCAAACCAAAAAAAGGGTGTGGTTAATTAAGTTTGGAAAAGGACACCATGATATATAAAGTTAAATCTGTCTCTTTATGCAGGGCCTTCTTTTTTTTTTTTTGAGACGGAGTCTCACTCTCAACCTCTGCCTCCTGGGTTCAAGCGATTCTCCAGCCTCAGCCTCCTGAGTAGCTGGGATTACAGGCGCGCACCACCACGCCTGGCGAATTTTTGTATTTTTAGTAGGGGTTTCGCCATGTTAATCAGGCTGGTCTCGAACTCCTGACCTCAAGCGATCCACCTGCCTCAGTCTCCTAAAGTGCTAGGATTACAGGCGTGAGCCACCACACCTGGCCTTAATGCAAGGCTTTTCAGAGCCTTGACTGAAACCTCATTTATTTGGATAAGTAATACGTATGTGCATGGCTTCTAACTCGGAAGTTGTGGAAGGGGTTTGGGAAGCTCACGCCTCTTTCCTGTACCAGCTGTGCCTCCTCTGTTTCTCCCTGGCAGCAGGTACCTCTAATGCATAGCAAGATGGTATCGCATGCACCTGCAGGTACCGTGTAGACTCAGCCAGTATCACGAGAAGTGACCATCCGCCTCCCAGGCGGGAGCGGGAGCGGGAGTATGGATGACTAGTCACAACCCACCCCCGGCATCTCTGGGACCAGCACCTGGAGGAACGCCCTTTGAGAATTGCGGGGTCCATGGTCCCCATGTGCCATGGGACTTTGTGTAAGAGGGTAGTTGGCAGTGCCGCCTTGCAGGTTCAGAACCCCCTATCTTGCAGAAGGCGCCATGACCTCTGCCCTTTGCTGCTCCCCTCCCGCCCCCGGCGGGGCTGTCCTGTGCTCCAGGAGCCTGCAGTCTCTTGTGGGGACCGGGGAAGGGCATCCCCAGGTTGTGTGCCCGCGGGCTGCGCCAGGCGTGAGCGGCTACCCCTGCGCGGGCGGACGCGCTGTGGGCGTGGGGAGGCGATGCGCGTGGCCCGGGGAAGGTGTGTAGCGGCGCGCGGGGGGTGTGAGCGCGCGTGCCCGCCTTCGCCCCGCCCCGAGGCCGGGCAGGTGTGGGCAGGCGGCCCGGACCCCGCCGAGTCGGGCCGGGAGAGCCGGCGGGAAACAGGAAGCGGGGGGAGGCGCGGCCGGACGGCCGGGAGGGAGGGAGGGCGTGCGGGCGGACGTGCGGGGCGGCCGGCGGCGGGGCGCGGGCCCGGGGCGGGCGGCGATGTGGGGAGGCCCGGGCAGCCCCGGGGGCGGCGGGGACGGGGGCGGAGCCGGGGGCGCCGCGGGCACCGCCCCCCTGCGCCGGCGGAGCCGCCGCCCGAGCGCGGACCCGGGAGCCCGAGGCGGCTGCGGTGTGCGGGGTGAGTCCCGAGGAGCTCAGGGCGCGCCCCCGACGGCTGCCGGGCGCGGGGAAGGGGACGCTGGCGACCCCGACGGCGAGTCCTGCGGGCAACGCCCCGGGGTGGGCTCGGCGGCACACCCAGCCCCAGGGCGCCCCGGTCGACCCCCGTGTGCCTGTCGCCCGCAGACCCCGAGGACGCGGCCATGCCGGGCCGGGCGGAGGCGGGGGAGGCCGAGGAGGAGGCGGGGGCCGGCTCGGGGTCCGAGGCGGAGGAGGACGCGCTGTGGGAGCGGATCGAGGGCGTCCGGCACCGGCTGGCGCGCGCCCTGAACCCGGCCAAGCTCACGCCGTATCTTCGCCAGTGCCGGGTCATCGACGAGCAGGACGAGGAGGAGGTGCTGAGCACCTACCGCTTCCCGTGCCGCGTCAACCGCACCGGTGAGCCTCGGGGCCCGAGGGGGTCCCGTCCCGGCCGACCGTGCCCTTGGGCGCAGCGCCCAGAGCCGTGGAGCGAGAAGCTAGGGCTCTGCTGTCCCGGGGCTCGGGCTCCGCAGCGGTAGAGGGGCCCGGCGGGGAATGCCCACAGCCTGCGTCCTCCGCAACCACCGCCGCGCCCAGGCGGTCCGCGTTGCCCACACCGGCGTCAGGGTTTTGTCTCTTGGGGTTCCCTCCCACTTCCTGGGCCCACATGAAAGCGGAGGGTTGATGTGGCTGCCAGCGCTGGCTGGGCCTGGGACCTCCCGGTCACAGCCGGCGGACTTGGCACCTTTCCTGCGCGCTTTGATCTCCGGGTTCTGTCTGTCCCCTCCGCTGTGCGCCACACACTCCCGGGAGAGTTATTTTTCCAGAGTCAAGACCCATCTCAGCTTTATGAGGGTCCCTTCTCCCACAGAGTGTGCCTTTGAACCAGAGCTGACAAAGGCATGATGGAATGGTCTTTAATGGTAGAATTTCAGGCATGGCCCATTGGGAGAAGTATTTACTTTGCTTTTGGAGATGGAGGGGGCTTCTCTGTGCGCATTTGCGGCCCGCATCTGTGTCTGTGGGGGGTGTTAGGGAGACCAGGAGCCATGAGGGAGTTTGACTCCTCTGGCTGTGGCAGACGGGCTCTTTTCCCTGATGTGTTGGGACAGGCCCCTGTGTGTGTCACTGGCTCAAAAATCTGGGGAACGTGGGCCTGGAGCATGGTGGGGGCAGAAGCAACCAGGCACCTGGGGAAGCCCTCCCCTGGACCCTGGGTGCATTTCCCCCACTGCTCTCCAGGGCGCCTGATGGATATCTTGCGCTGCCGTGGCAAGAGGGGCTATGAGGCCTTCTTGGAAGCCCTGGAGTTCTACTACCCTGAACACTTCACGCTGCTCACCGGCCAGGAACCCGCCCAGCGCTGCTCCATGATCCTCGGTGAGTGGATCTGCGTGGATGCTGGGCCTAGGCCTCCACTGCACAGGCTCCTCATCCCATCCCTGTTAGGGAGGCGCTCCCACTATCCTTGTTGAACAGTAAGGGAAACTGAGGCATAGAGAAACTGAAGGGGCTTGCTTAGGACCCCAGGGTGGGCTGAGGGTGGGGCTGGATGCTAGTCTTGTTCTTTCAAGTTCAGAGCCACATGCTTAAGATGGTTCTTTTTCTTGATACTGTTTTCAGACGTATGTCTGACGTACACAGATGTCCAGGTTTTGTATATAAAAATCCAAAGGCTCCAGGTGACTTTGAATTTTTTTTTTTTTTTTTTTTCTGAGATGGAGTCTTGCTCTGTCGCCCAGGCTGGAGTGCAGTGGTGCGATCTTGGCTCACTGCAACCTCTGCCTCCCAGGTTCAAGTGATTCTCCTGCCTCAGCCTCCTCAGTGGCTGGGATTACAGGCCTGCGCCACCATGCCCAGCTAATTTTTGTATTTTTAGTAGAGATGGGGTTTCACCATGTTGGTTAGGGTGGTCTTGAACTCCTGACCTCGTGGTCCGTCCACCGTGGCCTCCCAAGTGCTGAGATTGCAAGTGTGAGCCACTGCGCCTGGCCTGAATTTTTTTATGTAAAAAAAATACACACACACACATACACACATAGGTATTTTGCCTTTTCTTAGAACAACTGATTTTAGTGATTCCTTCCCCTCTGTTACATACAGTTGTCCTGTTCATTAGCGAAGTTAGGACATAATTCTTTTAACCCGTTTCTAGTTGATGGATACCTGGTTTCCAGTTTTGTGTTATTACCACAATGCGGGGAGCATCCTTGCATATGCGTCTTTGTGCAGATGTGTTTCAGGAGAAGAGGCTCTGAGAAGAATTTCTCAGAGTGTGCGTATTTTAACTGTTAAATCAACATGCTTCCTACCAGGAGTGTGTAAGTGCCCATTTGAATCCTGGGGATCGTGTTTAAACATTTTTGCCATTCTGATATGTAAAAAATAATGTTATTGTTTTAAGTTAATATTCATTGAGCGATACAGTTCATTGGTTACTTGTTAGTAAATCTTGGGTAAATAACTGCTCTGTGCTTCAGTTTTTCTTTCTTTAAAATGAATACAATAATAGTACCTACCTTATGGTATTATCATAAAGATTAAGATTATTTATATATCTATATATATCTGTATCTAGAACAAAGAATGAAGTTAGCAAATATTAGTAACCACCGTAATGGCTGTTGGTAGGTTTGTGCATATTTTCCTGTATTTATTAGCCATTTTTATTTTGGCACTTGCCTACTGATAGTTTTTGTCTATATTTTTACTTGGTGGTTGTTCTTTTCTTATTGATTTGTAGGAGCTCTTTATATATTATGGCTCTGAGTTCTTGTTATATTTGTTATATTTTCTCCCACTCTGTTGCTTATTGTTTAACTTTGTTACATCTTTCATTTTCTAAAGGCTTAAACATATTGATATGGATTTGTCCATCTTTTTTCTTATAACTCCTGGATTTTGTGTGTTGTTTAGGAAGATCTCCCCTGCTCCCAAATTCTAAAAATATATTCCAGAATTTCCCTCTAGTGTTTTTATGGTTTGAGGTTTTTGACATAGTCTGTCGTCTCCTGGATTTTTCTTACCTGACTTGCCTATTCTGTCCCCTGTTCTGTCCTGGCAGATGAGGAGGGGCCTGAGGGCCTGACCCAATTCTTGATGACAGAGGTTCGGCGGCTGCGGGAAGCTCGAAAGAGCCAGCTACAGCGGGAGCAGCAACTGCAGGCCCGGGGCCGGGTGCTGGAGGAGGAGCGGGCAGGGCTGGAGCAGCGGCTGCGGGACCAGCAGCAGGCTCAGGAGCGCTGTCAGCGGCTGCGGGAGGACTGGGAGGCGAGCAGCCTGGAGCTCCTGCGGCTCAAGGATGAGAACTACATGATCGCCATGCGCCTGGCCCAGCTCAGTGAGGAGAAGAACTCCGCTGTGCTTCGCAGCCGTGACCTGCAGCTGGCGGTAGGCCCTGGGGAGACAGGTTGGGGAGGCAAGGGAAGGGGCAGCTTTTGCAGTACGGTAGCCAGCCAGCCTGTGTCCCAGAGCCACCATCGCTGGCTCTTTGACACGGATAAGTCCTTTTACTGCTTGGTGTGCCTACTTCATTGGGTTATGACTGTGGTTCTCAACGGGGGGCGATGTTGACTTCCTAGAAACATTTGGCCATGTCTCGAAGCGCGTCTGGTTGTCACAACTAGTGGGGTTTTATTGGCATCTGCTGTGTAGAGGCCAGGGATGCTGCCGAACACCCTGCAGCGCCCAGGGCAGTACCCAACAAAGAATTACCCAGCCTAAAATGTTGGTAGGCCCGGGGCTGAGAAACCTTGGGTTATGAGGACTCAGTGAGTTTAGAGTCTCGCCCTTCTCACCCAGGCTGGAGTACAGTGGCGCGATCTCAGCTCACTGCAGCCTGTGCCTCCTGGGTTCCAGTGATTCTCCTGACTCAGCCTCCTAGGTAGATGGGATTATAGGCGGACACCCCCACGCCCAGCTCATTTTTCTATTTTTAGTAGAGATGGGGTTTCTCCATGTTGGCCAGGCTGGTCTCGAACTCCTGACTTCAGATGATCTGCCTGCCTCAGCCTCCCAAAGTGCTGGGATTACAGGCGTGAGCCACCGCACCTGGCCCAGTGAGTTTAAGACACAGAGTTTCAGACATGTGCAGTGCCCAGCATACTGCTCGCAACTTGTGTCATCAGTAGCCATTGTTGATATTATCAAGAGGCACACAGATGACAAGCATCACGTCTTCTAATTCTCCCCAAAGCACCGTGTGCCAAATCCTCATTTCCAAATACAGACTCCGAGACTCAGATTTGGGAAAGGACTTGCTCACGGTCACAGAGCCAGGAAGCAGCACAGCCTGGATTTGAACCTGGCCCGGCTGGCCCCAGTGCCAGTTCCCTTCCATGCTGCTGTTGCGTCTGCTCCCTGTGTGGGGAGGTCTCACCTGACTCCCGCCAGCGGGCAGGTGAGGCCGTGCCTCCTACTGCATCTACTTTCTTGGTTTCCAAATGGGACTTAGCAGGGGGATCATACTGGTATTTGACTGCCACGGGGCATCGTTGCAAGGATTTAATGAGCTGATCCACATCAAGGGCTTAGAAGTGCCAGCCACACGGCACGCAGGACGCTCCCTCTAGCCACGTTGTTCGAGGCTCCATGGTGGGTTGTGACTGAAGTTTGAAGCCTCCCTACCCCAGGAGCCTGAGGCTGTGGCTGCAGCACGGCAGGTGGCTGTGAGCCTGGGGGCGCAGGTACACCCGTGTGCCAGTCCCTGAGTTTGTGCATGCCAGGTGGGTCCATATCTTGGGGAGGTGAGCCCCGATGGGGGTGTTGAGGCCACAGTTGAAGGGTCCAGCTTGAGGATGTGGGTGGCTGCTTTGAGGTGGTGAGGTCACCGGGAGGCCATGGTTCCAGGTCCTGTTTGGTGTGTGGCATGAGGCGGAGGCGGAGGCTTTCTTTCTTTCTTTCTTTCTTTTTTTGAGACGGAGTTTCGCTCTTGTTACCCAGGCTGGAGTGCAATGGCGCGATCTCGGCTCACTGCAACCTCCGCCTCCTGGGTTCAGGCAATTCTCCTGCCTCAGCCTCCTGAGTAGCTGGGATTACAGGCACGCGCCACCATGCCCAGCTAATTTTTTGTATTTTTAGTAGAGACGGGGTTTCACCATGTTGACCAGGATGGTCTCGATCTCTTGACCTCGTGATCCGCCTGCCTCTGTCGGCTTCCCAAAGCTATGGGATTACAGGCATGAGCCAGTGCGCCTGGCCCTGCCTTCTGTGGGGTGCTGGGCAGGGACAGGGATGCAAATCTCAGGCCAGATCTCCTGTGAAAAACCATGTGGCATGGGCAGGGCTTGCGTTTCTGTGCCTCAGTTTCCTCATCCTCATCACAGATACGGATGACGTAACAATTATGAAAGACCCCCGTGCACCAGGTACTGTCCTAAGTGCTTACCATGCACAGACCGCTTTAATTTTCCAGCCACCCTATGCTGGGGTGGATAACAGTACCTTTCCTGTTTCTAGAGGAGGAAACTGAGGCACAGAGAAGTTGCTTTGAGCACTTTCCCAATGTCCCAGGAGTGAAGGATTTTTTTTTTTTTTTTTGAGATGGAGTTTTGCTCTGTCACCCAGGCTGGAGTGCAATGGCTCGATGTCAGCTCACTGCAACCTCCGCTTCCCAGGTCCAAGCGATTCTCCTGCCTTAGCCTCCTGAGTAGCTGGGATTACAGGGGCGTGCCACCACGCCTGGCTAATTTTTGTGTGTGTTTTTAGTAGAGATGGGGTTTCACCAGGTTGACTAGGATGGTCTTGACTTCCTGACCTCAGATGATCTGCCCGCCTCGGCCTCCCAAAGCGCTAGGATTAGAGGTGTGAGCCACTGTGCCTGGTTGGATTGAAGGATTTCTGAGTCGCTGTAAGGTTTTCTCAGAAGAAATAATGCGCTGCTCAGAGAGGACAGTGTGGGGGCCGAGGGGAGGGGCACTGGGAGAGGCTGCAGCCCGCACGGCTTGCCCCACCTTTGGGTTGGATGTGACTGGGATGGGGGGTATGTCCTGAGTGTGTGACCATCTGGGGGCTGCTGGGACAGGGGAGGGGAATGGAAAAGAGATGGTTGGAGATGCCTTTGCACGTGTGCAGGTCAGCTGCAAGTCTGCATAGGATGACCTTCTAGGAGTTAGGTTATCTGCCTTGAAGCAGAGTGGCTGCTTTTTCCTATTTTAGGGGCCTAAAATGTGAAACTGGCTGGACACGGTGGCTCACGCCTGTAATCCCAGCACTTCGGGAGGCGGGTGGATCACCAGGTCAGCAGATTGAGACCATCCTGGGGTAAAACCCCGTCTCTACTAAAATTACAAAATATTAGCCAGGCATGGTGGTGGGCGCCTGTAATCCCAGCTGCTCCGGAGGCTGAGGCAGGAGAGTTGCTTGAACCTGGGAGGCGGAGGTTGCAGTGAGCAGAGATTGTGCCACTGCACTCCAGCCTGGGCAACAGAGCAAGACTCCGTTTCAAAAAAAAAAAATAAAATAAAGAAATTAAACTTAACTGCTATAAATTTACTTTAACTGTTTGGAGCTTTCTGCGCCAAAATTAACAAAGGTGTTGCAGATGGATCTGAACAGAGCAGCTGATTGTGCGTGGCAGCTGTGTCCCCACCTCCCATGGACAGGTGTGTGGTGGCTGAGATTTAATACCATGTTTTATAAGGTGCAAATTTAATGAGCTGTTATTTCAAAGCAACATAAACTGAAGGCACGAACACTATAATTTTGTGCCCAGTGGGTTTGTACACTGGGATTAAATACATCCATATTTCCTGGTGCCCGTCGGAGACACCCAGGTGTCCTGTCCTCTGAGCTCAATCAGGGAAGCTGGCTGGCCCAGGGTCAGGGAGGAGGCCTTGGTGTGTGGCTGCGGTTTGCTGAGCGGGTGTGACCCCAGTTGTCCTTGTAACGAGCTTTCTCTGGCTGCTCACAAGCGTGTTTTGTGAGTGGAAAGGAATGCAGGAGTCATGAATTTCTTTGTCTCTTGCGGAGGAGGAGGAGTGGACTGTTCATTTGTGGAATTGCCTGACCCAGCCTCCAAACCCGTGTGTGTATGTGTGCCTGTGTGTGTGTGTGTGTATGTGTGTATTTGTGTACATGTGCCTGTGCGTGTGTGTATGTGTGCCTGTGTGAGTGTGCATGTATGTGTGCCTGTGTGTGTGTGTGCCTGTGTGTATGTGTGTGTGCATGTGTGCCTTTGTGTATGTGTGCGCGCGTGTGTATGTGTATGTGTGCCTGTGTGTGCACGTGCATGTATGTGTGTATGTGTGTGCGTGTGCATGTATGTGTGTGCCTGTATGTGTGCATGTGTGTATGTGTGCCTGTGTGTGTGCATGTATGCGTGTGTATGTGTGCCTGTGTGTGTGTGTGTGTGCGTGTAGGTGTGTGTGTATATGTGTGCGTATGTGTGTGTGCCTGTGTGTGTGTATGCACGTGTGTATGTGTGTGTGTATGTGTGCGCGTGTATGTGTGTGCGCCTGTGCACGTTTGTATGTGTGCGTGTATGTGCATGTGTGTGAGTGCGTGTGTACATGTATATGTGTGCATGTGTGTGTATGTGTGTACGTGTGTGTATGAGTGTGTATGTGTGCTTGTGTGTGCGTGTGTACGAGTATGTGTGCATGTATATGTGTGTGTGTATGTGTGTGTGGTGTGCCATTCTAGCCTCTGAAGGCTGGGGGACTAGCAAGTCATTTTCCACGAGAGGCCAGGGCGGTCCTAGGGCACCAGATGTTGCATGCCTAACTATAGCACCAAAAGTCGTTGTGACCTTTTCCCAACAATGACTTCATTTTATGGCCTGCCACCTGCTGCCACTCTTGTCACTGTCTGGCCACCTCAGACCCCATGTGCGTCACCCCTGGCCGAGTGCTCTCATAGTCCAGCAAACTGGCCGTGCACATCTGCTCCCCCAGCCAAGCGGTCACCCCACAGCTGCCCACTCATCGCACTGGGCCCAATTCTGGCTGCACACTCCAAACTGCTGATCAGTTAGGGGCCTGGGATTTGATTTAAAGCTGTGGTCACAGTGTGGCAGCTCTGTGGCCTGCCCTTCGCATTTAGAGGTCTCTGCCCACTCCAAACTGGTGACCAGTTAGGGGCCTGGGATTTGATTTAAAGCTGTGGTCACAGTGTGGCAGCTCTGTAGCCTGCCCTTCACCATTTAGAGGTCTCTGCCCACTTGCTGTCTTGTTTGATTCTTGCAACACTTTTGGGAGGTGAATGATGAGGCCAGGAGGTTGACTGGGCCCATTTTACTGATGAAGAAACTGAGGCCCAGAGGAGGTAAGTGACTTGCTGAGGATGACAGAGCCTAGAAGTAGCAAAGTTGAAACCTGAACCCTGGAAGTGGAGTTTTTGAGGGAGATGAACGAACAGCCAGATCTTAGAGAGCAGAGGCTCTGTTAGGAATTCCTTTCAGGGTGGACAGATTCAAGTCTGTTTCCTGAGAGTGTGAGATGTTGAGGTGAGATGTTGGCTTGTCTGGGGGGCCTCTAGTTCCTGTGCCGGATGAGACCCTCAACTTTCAAAACCATCACCCTCTCCTCTCCTGTACCCCAGGTACAGATGAGGAGATTGAGGCACAGAGAGGGGCCATAACTTGCCCAGGGTCACACAGAGCTAGAAACAGAGCTGGGGTCTGACCCTGTTTCCCATTTTTTTTTCTTTTGAGACTGGGTTTCACTCTGTTGCCCAGGCTGGAGTGCAGTGGTGTGAACATGCTTCTCTGCAGCCTCAACCTCCCAAAGTTTAAGTGATTCTCCCACTTCAGCCTCCTGAGTAGCTGGGATAATAGGTGCTCACCACCACACCCAACTAATGCTTTGAATTTTTTGTCGAGACGAGGTCTCACTGTGTTACTGAGGCTAGTCTCGATCCGCCCGCCTCGGCCTCCTAAAGTGTAAGGATTACAGGTGTGAGCACCACACCTAGCGTGGTCCCCACCTCCCTTTTTTTTAAAAATTTTTTGAGACATTCTCTCGCTCTGTCGCTCAGGCTGGAATGTAGTGGTGGAATCCCAGCTCACTGCAACCTCTGCCTCCTGGGTTCAAACCATTCTCCTGCCTCAGCCTCCCGAGTAGCTGGGACTACAGACATGTGCCAGCATGCCTGGCTAATTTTTTATTTTTAGTAGAGGCGGGGTTTCACCATGCTGCTCAGGCTGGTCTTAAACTTCTGATCTCAGATGATCCGCCTGCCTCAGCCTCCCAAAGTGTTGGGATTACAGGCGTGAGCCACCGTGCCTGGCTCTTCTCATTCTTGATGTGGCCCCTCCTTTTCTGCCATGAGAATACTGGGCTGAATTGATGGCACTCAGTGTCGGAATGCCGGTCAGACAGCACGTGGTGAGGCGGCACATCCGGTTACAAGTTCTTAGAGTGGATTCCCCTGGGAGGTGTCCTTGACCTGGCTACCCCATGCTCCTTCCTCAGCCGTTTGTTTTATGTCTGCGTGGCCTGTCCCGTCTTCACAGACAAGCCTGGGGAGGGCTTCTGCTCAGGCCTCTCTGGGAATCTGGGAGGCACCCAGTGAGGGAGCAGGTCTTCCTCCCCTGTGACCTGTGGCTCCCAGTGTGTCCCCCTCTGGGCTGACCCATGTCTTGGGCTCCAGGTGGATCAGCTCAAGCTGAAGGTGAGTCGGCTGGAGGAAGAGTGTGCACTGCTGCGAAGGGCCAGGGGGCCGCCTCCTGGGGCGGAGGAGAAGGAGAAGGAGAAAGAGCCGGACAATGTGGACCTTGTCTGTGAGTTGCGTGCCGAGAACCAGCGGCTGACGGCGTCACTGCGGGAGCTGCAGGAGGGCCTGCACCAGGTACCAGGGCCGGGGCTCATGGCCATGGGGGTTAGGAGGGCCTGCAGCTGGTACCAGGGCTGGGGCTTGTGGGCACAGAGGTGGGGTGGGGTCAGATCCGGAAAACAGGCCCTCTTGCTGCTCACTCATCCTCCCAAGGCCTGGGAAGCTGAGGATTTCAGAATGAGGAATCTGAGATCTGGATGGAGTCCCAGCAGCCTCCTGCCTGAAGCTCTGAGCTGAGGGCCCTTAGCACGTGGCTGTCTCTGGACGCCTGGTCTGGGGTGTGTGAGCAGCCTCCAGAAGGCCCCCGAACTCCCTAAAACTGTCCACTTGATTTTGAGTGTGAGCATTTTTCTGGGGAAAGGGTCCCAGCTTTGGTCTGATTTGTAGAGGGTGTGGTCTGGTGGTCCAGGCTTGCGTAGTGTCCTGTGGCAGGTCAGCGGCAGGTCAGCGGCTGCATGGGCCTGCTCCTGGCCATTGTTCCATGCAGGAAGTGGGGGATGGGAGCTAGTGCCTTTCCTGGGATTGGGGCACTTGACTGGGTATGGTTCTGCGGGCAGGATCTTAGGCCCAGGGTCTACCTGTTTGGGCCAGGCTCAGCCCCTTGAAGACCCCTAGTCATGGGGGGCGGGTAGGCCTTGGAAGTGGCCATTGTCTGTTGGCCCGGATGCTGGGTGAGGGCCAATACTTGAGTGCGCGCCTGGTGCTTGCTTTGGAATCAGATCCTGGCTGAACTTGTCCAGCCACACCCTCATCCACTTAGCTTATTTGCACCCCAGATGCTCTCTGGACGGTGGGTAGGGCTGGCAGGGCCACGCCCACTCTGCAGAGCCGGAGACGGAGATCCAGAGAGGTCAAGGCCCCAGGCCAGCATGGCAGAGCTGGTCGGGTGGGTTTGGAGAGCTGCATGTCCCCTTCCTCCCCATGCCTAGGGTGGGCCCTGAGCCAGACCCTGAGGTGGCCCTGCCCTGCGATTCGCAGGAGGCGAGCCGGCCGGGGGCCCCGGGCTCTGAGCGAATCCTGCTGGACATCCTAGAGCATGACTGGAGGGAGGCGCAGGACAGCAGGCAGGAGCTGTGCCAGAAGCTGCACGCCGTGCAGGGGGAGCTGCAGTGGGCCGAGGAGCTGCGAGACCAGGTGGGGCCCTGCCCGTGCTCTGCCCCTGGTGGGGGAGGGTGTCCGGCAGGGCCGGCGTGCTCACGCCTTCCCTGAGCATCCACTTCACACGGGTGTTGTGCTGAGGACTGTGTTCATTCACTCTCGGATATTGATGGAGTCACCCTTCTAGGTGCTTGAGACGCTGCAGTGAGCAAAACAAAGGTGCCTGCTCCCTTAGGGGGAACTCCAGCAGGGGAGGCTGGCAGTACGTGAGACACACAGTCCCACGTCAGCTATTTCCTGTAGCTGAAGGCGATGAGCACCGTGGGAGACGCAGAGCTGGGGAAGGGGCCGGTTTCGGCTTCAGTGGGGAGGCCAAGGGTGGCCAGCTGGGTGAAATGATGGTCATTCTTCTCATTTTACAGATTAGGCAGTTGAGGGCCTGGGAGGTAAAGTCAGTGGCTCAGACCACTCCGCTGGGCAGGAGGGGGCGTGTTTTGGGTCTCAGGCTCTGGGAGAGCGTCTCTCACTGGCCCTCCCGGGCACCTGCTGGTGAGATTTCTCATGGTCCCCAGCCCTGTGGTCTGACCCCGCCTGTGCCGCCCTCAGTACCTGCAGGGGATGGAAGACCTGCAGCTGAAGCACCGTACACTGCAGAAGGACTGTGACCTGTACAAGCACCGCATGGCCACTGTCCTGGCTCAGCTGGAGGAGATTGAGAAGGAGCGGGACCAGGTGAGCCCGGCCTGCTGTGTGCCAGGCCCTCAGCCAGTTGCTAGTTCTCATGTGGGGGGAGACAAGGAGGAATGGAGGGGACTAGAATGGTAGAAAGAGAGTGAGCAGTTCCTGTGGGTTAGGATGCGGCACCTAGGCGGCGGGGAGACAGACGGGTCCTGGAGCCCTTGAGATACCCACCTGACACCCTGGAGCCGCCGGCCTCATCTCAGCTTCCGCGACAGCTACAGAAGTTGACCCTGGTGTCTTCGTTTCTGAATCCCTTGTTCTCTCCATCTCAAAGACAAGCTCAGCACAGAGGAGGTGCTTAGAAGTCGCTGCTGAGGAAGAAATTCCCCAAAGCTTGGCTCTCAGTCCCTGGGCACTATGACCCTTGTCTCCTGCCAAGGTTGTGGGGTGGGCTGAGGACCTCCGGCCAGTGCCACCAGGCCCCCAAGCCTCCTGGTGTGAGGCTCCATGTGCAGCAGTGGCGGGCAGGAGTTTTTTGTCCTTGACCAAGTGTGAATTCCACTGGAAGAGCTGAAGTCTACATATTACTATTAGGATTACTTCTGAGACTGGGTCTAGCTTTATCGCCCAGGCTGGAGTGCAGTGGTGTAACCTCAGCTCACTGTGGTCTCTGCCTCCTGGGTTCAAATGACTCTCCTGCCTCAGCCTCCCAAGTAGTTGGCGTTACAGTCATGCACCACCATGCCTGGCTAGTTTTTGTATCTTTAGTAGGGGGAGGGTTTCATCATATTGACCAGGCTGGACTCAACTGATCCATCCCCCTCAGCCTCCCAAAGTGCCGGGATCACAGATGTGAACCACCTTGCCCAGCCGAAGTCTGTATATTAGAAATGGCCTCAGGATCCCCTGGCAGGCTTCATATTGCAAATCTGGGGCTTCATTCTCTGGACATTCTGATTCAGGTGTCCGGGGTGGGCCTCAGGAATCTGCATTTTATGGGGCTCCCCCCAGCTCTAAGGCCGTGGGTGACAGGTCTGGGCCATGGGCCCAGCTGCAGAGCCCCTGGTCTTCACCGTGGATGCAATAGGCTGGGTTTGACTCGGCTTCTCCACCAACTGGGATGCCGTGAGTAAAGCCCCTGGCACATAGCAGGTCTCATGGAAAGGTTTTCAGTTCTTGGTGGAATGGTAAGAGCCGGGATTGTGCAAATGGACTTCCTGATTGGAATCCCAGCTGTCTCCCTCCAGGCTGTTTCCCCAATCTGCAGAATGAAAAGAATGATATTAATAGTATCTAACGTAGCCAGTTAGTGTGAAGATATTTAAATAAACTGATACTGAGCTCAGGGCCCGGCACATACTGCCCAGTAAGTGATAGCTGCAGTTCTCGTTACTGTCCCCATTCTCCAAGTCATAGGCCCGGACAGCTGGGCCAGGGTGGCTCCTTCAGCTGCTGCCCCCCTCCCCCCCACCCCAGGCCATCCAGAGCCGCGACCGGATCCAGCTGCAGTACTCGCAGAGCCTCATTGAGAAGGACCAGTACCGCAAGCAGGTGCGGGGCCTGGAGGCAGAGCGGGACGAGCTGCTGACGGCGCTCACCAGCCTGGAGGGCACCAAGGCTCTGCTGGAGGTGCAGCTGCAGCGGGCCCAGGGTGGCACCTGCCTCAAGGTAAGCAGGTCAGGATTGTGGGGGTCCTGGCAGGAGCTCTTGGCCAGGGCTGGGAACACGCCAGCCCTGGTGGGAGACCTCAGCCAGGGGAGGAAGCTTGGGGGAAGTGGGAAGAGCCCTGTTAGGCGTGGGAACTGGGACCCAGGGTGGGCTGGGTTTGGGCTGGTGAGCCGGGGGGTGGGGGGGAAAGGTGCATGTTGGTCTCTGAGTTTCTGGAGTTGCTACTGGGACACGAAGGATAGTTTGGAGGTGGTCTTTGCATTTAGCTGGGGAAGGCTGGCTACCCGGGGTCCTGTGCGCATGTCAGAATGCTAAACCTGGGCCTCAGAGACCAGCTGGTCTAATCCTCTCATCGGACAGGGCCCAGAGAGGGTCAGGGGCTTGCCCAAGGCCACACAGCCAGCTGGCACTGGAGCTGGAGGCCCAGACCCTTTGTACATTGGACCATGGTCCTCAGGCTGCTGCCGGGAGCTCTGACTTTTCCTTTTTCTTTTTTTGAGATAGAGTCTCGGTGTGTCGCCCAGGCTGGATCCCAGGTTGAAACTATTCTCAGCCTCCCTAGTAGCTGGGATTACAGGCACCTGCCACCAGGCCCAGTTACGTTTTTTGTATTTTTAGTAGAGACGGGGTTTCAGCTGGTTTCACTCTCCTGACTTCAAGTGATTCTTCTGCTTCAGCCTCCCAAAGTGCTGGGATTAGAGGCGTGAACGCCTAGCCTGCTTTTGCTTATTTTGAGTTGCCTGACAGTGAACTCTGCAGGCCTGGTTTTGAAGCACTGGGGTCTGGAGGTAAGCATGAATCCCTGACTTTTTTTTTGAGACAGAGTTTCACTCCTGTTGCCCTGGCTGGCGTGCAATGCCACGATCTTGGCTCACTGCAACCTCCCTCTCGCGGCTTCCAGAGATTCTCCTGCCTCCCGAGTTGCTGGGATTACAGGCCTGTGCCACCATGCCCAGCAAATTTTGTATTTTTAGTAGAGACAGGGTTTCTCCATGTTGTCAGGCTGGCCTCAGGTAATCCACACACCTCAGCCTCCCAAAGTGCTGGGATTACAGGCGTGAGCCACTGCGCCCAGCCTGATGACTTTTTTTTAAACCTCCAGTTGGCTTTTTTGCGGTTAGGTAGAGACAGAGTCCCTTTTCCTGCCCAAGAGGCCCTATAGATGAGGTTCCTCTTGTCCTCTAGCCGGATTCTATGGGTTTTGGCCTTTTAACTGGAATGCATCGCCGTCCTGCCTCAGGGCTTTTGCACATGCTGTTCCTCTGCCTGGCCCATCCCAGCTGGACCTGCTTAGCACCTGCATACCCCCGGGCTCTCAGTTCAAACCATACTTTCTTTGGAAAGTACTTGGGCCCCAGGCTGGGTGGGGTCTTTGTGTGTTTTCCGGCCGGCAGCTTCCTTCTGCTGTGGTCTCAGCTTGGCGTTATTTTGTTCCTGTGTCTGCTGATTGACAGTTTGTCTCTCCTTCTAGGCTGTGAGCTCCCTGAGGACAGGGATCTGTCCCGTGCCGGCACGTGGCAGGCGGTCAGGAAAGGCTGTGGCTGGCATGGGCCTGGCACTGCTCACCTTCTCCTCTCCCTCTTCCAGGCCTGTGCCTCCTCCCACTCCCTGTGCTCCAACCTCAGCAGCACTTGGAGCCTGAGCGAGTTCCCCTCCCCTCTGGGAGGCCCAGAGGCAACAGGGGAGGCCGCTGTCACGGGGGGATCTGAGCCTCACCCCTCGGTAAGACACCTGCCCCATCCCAAATAAAGGGGCACGCTGCTATGGCGTTATTACTAAGGCAGAGAGTGCTTTCTGAAGGATCCATTTCACAGGGGAGGACACTGGGGCGCAGGGGGGCCAAGGACTTTACTGAAGCTCACCCAGAACCAGTTCCTTGCCGGGGCTGGGTGCTGGGAGAGCTGGGGAGCCACCATACACTGTAACCTTGCAGAGCCCGCTCCTGTGCCCTGTGCCCTGCTCCTCATCTGTGGAATGGGCACAAACCAGGTGTGCTGAGGACTGGGAAGGTGCCGGGCAGCAGGGGTGACCCAGGCCCTGTCATGGCATTGCAGGAGGAGGCCACAGACAGTGAGAAGGAGATCAACCGGCTCTCCATCCTGCCCTTCCCGCCCAGTGCCGGCTCCATCCTCCGCCGGCAGCGCGAGGAGGACCCCGAACCCCCTAAGAGGTGAGATGGCTGGAGATAGCAGCAGACGCCCAGGGAGGTGGGGCTGCTGTTTCCCGAACAGCCAGCTCTCACAGTCTGCGATGCCAGAGTCCGGTCCAGGCAGTCACCTCCCTTTATTGCCTTCAGGTGGCTGGAGCTCTGGAAATCCAGGCCCTGTGAGTCACGGGGTGACCGAGGTCAGGGTTAAGACAAGGCCAGTGGGCAGAGTGAACTCAGCCCTAGCCTGGCAGGAGAGTCACTGGAGGTCAAGCCTTGAAGATCTGTGCCCAAGGAGAAGCTTGATGCTTCAGGACTAGGGGACGTGGAGAATAGTTCAAGGTGTCAGGGACCTTGGGCAGGAAAGCCAGGCCCCAGGTTTGGGCATCAGCAGCAAATAGGGACCAGAAAAACCAAGGGACAGCCTCTGATGGCAAGACCAAGGGTGGGAGATACCCGCCTCCTGGGCACGTTCCCTGTCACTGTTTCCCCCTTGTAAGTAGCCCTTGATTTATTCCTTTACCGGTGAGGAGCTGGGCACTGAGAGGCTGTGATCAGCATGGCCTTGGTCTGCATGGGTCTGTCCCAAGGGGGTGTCCGATGAGGAGGTCATGGTTTAATTTAGGAGGCGTACCTGGGAGCCACAAACCACAAAGGTGGCAAAGGAGGGTGAGATGAGGGGGTGAGAGATCAGGGGAGGCTTCTAGGAGGAGGAGGCATTGAAAGACCTGGCTTTGAAGGGCATGCCAGGGAATTCTGGGTTGAACAACAATGGACAGAGACCAGGACATTAACTTCTTGCCCTGTGAGTTTAGGAGAGCCAGGTGGCATGGGTGCCCTGTGCCTGGGACCCCGCCTTGAGTCTAGCCTGCATTTGCTTGGTGGCTGTGAGACCTTTTTCTGGCGTGGGGGCAGGACGAGGGAGCAAGGCAGAGTGCCCACCGTGCCTCACCTCCTGCCCCCTCCCTGCCCTCTCTCTGCCCAGATCCTTCAGCAGCATGTCAGACATCACAGGTAACAGCCCTGGAGCTCAGTGGGGAGGGCTCATCCCGGGTCGGGGGAATGGCTTTGCAGCCCACCTGGAGTCTGTGCCACCTGCCCCACCCTTGGCCTGCATCCCCTTCCCTGATGCCCCACTGTGTGCCTGGGAGGCCCCTGGGGCCTTGTGTCTGGCCTCTCACCCTGAGCCAAGTCCTGGCCCTCACTCCTCTTCCTGGCTGTGATGTATGAGGCTCTTCAGTTCTGGGCCACCTTTTACCCTCTTCCGGGAAACTGCGGGGTCAGCCTGGTGGGCCCTGACCTCTCTCTCAGCCCACGTGGGTCTGACGTGCTCCTGGGTCAAACCTGCCAAGGCCCTCAGGTCCTGGGTTAGAGGGTGTCTGTCCCAGTCATGGACTCTGGCTGCCCGTTTCCCGGTCCTAGACCCCTGAACCTCAATCTTCTTGCCCAGGGAGTGTGACACTTAAGCCCTGGTCCCCTGGCCTCTCTTCGTCGTCCTCCTCTGACAGCGTGTGGCCTTTGGGAAAGCCGGAAGGCCTCCTGGCGCGGGGCTGTGGCCTGGACTTCCTTAACAGGTACTGCGGCTGCCTGCGGTGGGTGGAGCCAGGGGGACTGAGAGGCAACAGGGGCGAGGCGGGAGGAGAAGCTGCCTCACCCCTGCTTTATGCAACTGCTGGAAGATGAAGGTCCATAGACAAGGGCAGCCCTTGGATTCAAATCCTGCCGCCACTGTTGATTGTCCCTGTGACCCCGGCTGGTCCCTTCACCTCTCTGGGCCTGTTTCCTCAGTAGCTAAAGGGAGATGACATTTTTGCATGTGGGTCTTGAGGGCTCTGCTCACATAAGCAAAGCCCCCAGCTCTGCCAGACCTGCAGCAGGTGCTCGGTAAAAGTTGTTACTTACAAGCTCTCCTTGTCCCAATGTCCTGCCTATCCTGAGTCCCTGGGACTGAGCCGCCCAGCAAAGCTTCATGCTGTGGGTGGGCTGGGACTCCCTGTGACTGCACCAGCCACAGGCCGGTAACAGGAGTCACAAAGCCCATTAGTGCAGAGTGTGCACTGCAGGCCACGTGCTGTTAGTGGCCACGGTGTGTGGCCACTGTTCAGACTTGCCAGTGGATCTCAGGAGGGCTGGGGCACAGCGGGGGCCGCACTGCCACTGTGGTCTTGGGACTCAGCTGGGAGGAGAGGGCAGGTAGGGAGAGCATCCAGTGACTGCAGGGGGAGTGAGGGGGAGGGCAGAAGTCAGGGCGTCCTAAGTCAGGCTGGGAGAGTGCGGACTTTGGCTTGTAGACTCTGGGAACCCTGGGAGGGTTTGGTTATTAACTGTAAGGCCAGCTGTTGGCTCTTGTACAGCATGCCCTTTGTCCTGGGAGGAGGCATAATTATGATGATCTCTGTTTTATAGAGGCTCAGAGAGGTTAAGCAACTTACCCAGGGTCACACAGTTGGGAAGCACCACGTCTGGGTTCACAGTGACCTGATTGGACTTGGGTTTTGCAAAGGGCATCAGACGCACAGACTGTCAGCACTGGAATGTGGCGGTGTTGGGTGCAGAGGGACACAGCAGATCAGTACAGCATAGGACCAGGGCCTCCGAAGCAGCTTGGTCAGCCCAGTGTCCACCCAGGCCCTGCCCCCACCTGACCCCCGGCAGTGGGCCTAGCGAGACATTGTTTCTGCCCGAGCAGGACGTGCTTCTCGGGAAAGGGGTGGAGGCATCTCCCTTCCTGCCCGCCTCAGCCCTTCCTCCCTTCCTCCAGTTTGGGCTGCAGCAGGGGTCCTGGCTGCTGTCCCGGGGGCGCCAGGATGCAGCCAGGGAGCAGGAGCCTCTGTCCCTGCCCTGCCCAGGCCCCGCAATCACATGGGGCCACTTCTGCTGCCCGTGCTGTTCCTGGGGAGGAGAGGGGTTCCTGGGGAAGAACACAGGCTGGGGAGGGCGTGGAGGTGGTGGACAGAGGGAGAGAGGGAGGGAGGTGGACAGGCAGAGGGGAGATGGGGGCATGGACAGGGCCCTGGTTGGGGCAGCTTGCATGTCTCCTGGGGGTGTCTTATGGTGAGGTGGGAAGAACGGGCTTTGGTGCCAGCACTTGCTACTGTGGGACCGTGGGCAAGTCTCTGAATTTCCCAGTGCCTCAGTTTCCTGCTCTATAAAGTGGGCTCTAGTAGTGCCTGTCTCCTGGGTCACTGTGGGGGTCCCAGTATCCCTTCTAGAATGCTCAGAACACGCACAGTGGATGTCAGCACACGCTGGCTCTTTGCCACGATCACTGCTGCCATTGCAGTTTAGCCCCCAGAGCAACTTTGCAAGGCTGGGATTTTAACCTGGTCACACAGACCAGGACACTGAAGTTCCAACAGTTAGATATTGCTCCCAAGTCACAGGCCCCTCAGAGCTGATTGGGGATTCTGATGTGCCTTCCCGTCTTAGCTGCTGGAGCTCTCGCGCCTGTGTCGTGCGCCCACTGTGCGCCGGGCTGCTGGGGCTCTC